AAAACCCATTGATCTGTTGCCTACAAGAAATACACTTCAACTGTAAAGGTACACATAGACTGAAAGTATAGGGATAGAAAAAGATATTCCATGCCAATGGAAACCAAAAAAGAGGAGGAGTAGCTATATGTATATCAGACAAAATAGATTTCAATGCAAAAACTATAAGAGACCAAGAAGGTCACTATATAATGATAAAAGGGTCAATTCAGCAAGATGATACAATTTAAAAGACGTATGTACTCAATACTAGAGTACCAAGATCAATAAAGCAAATATTATTAGAGCTAAAGAGAGACATAGGCCCCGATACAGTAATAGCTGGAGACTTCAACACACCCACGTTCAGCATCAGACAGATCTTCTAGACATAAAATCAAGAAAAAAACATTGGATTTAGCCTGCACTATAGACCAAATGGATCTAATAAATATTTTCAGAACATTTCATCCAAAAGCTGCAAAATACACATTCTTTTCCTCAACACATGGATCATTTGCAAGGATAGACCGTATGTTAGATCACAAAACGAGTCTTAAAACATTCCAAAAAAAGGAAATAATATCTAGCATCTTCTCTGACTATAATGGAATAAAACTAGAAATCAATAACGAGAAGAATTTTGGAAACTATACAAACACAAGGAAATTAAACAATATGCTCCTGAATGACCAATGGGTCAATAAAGAAATTAAGAAGGAAATTGAAAAGTTTCTTGAAACAAATGATAATGGAAATACAACATACCAAAACCTATGGGATACAGTAAAAGCAGTACTAACAGGGAATTTTGTAGTTATAAGTGCCTACATCTTACTCCAGTTAAAATGGCTTTTATCCAAAAGACAGGCAATAACAAATGCTGGCGAGGATGTGGAGAAAAGGGAACTTTTGTTCACTGTTGGTGGGAATGTAAATTAGGACAACCACTATGGGGAATAGTTTAGAGGTTCCCCAAAAAACAAAAAATAGAGCTACCATATGATCCAACAATCCCACTACTAGGTATATATATCTAAAAGAAAGGAAATCAGTATATTGAAGAAATTTCTGCACTCTCATATTTGTTGCAGCACTATTCACAATAGCCAAGATTTGGAAGCCCAACCTAAGTACCCACCAACAGATGAATGGATAAAAAAAATGTGGTACATACACATAATAGAATACTATTCAGCTATAAAAAAGAATGAGATCGTGTCATTTACAACAACATAGATCGAACCAGAGATCATTTTGTTAGTGAAATAAGCCAGGAACAGAAAGACAAACATTGCATGTTCTCACTTATTTGTGGCCTCTAAAAATTAAAACAATTGAACTCACAGACATAGAGTGTTGGGGGGATGGTTACCAGAGGCTGGAAAGGGTAGTAGGGGCAAACGGGATGGTTAATGGGTACAAAGAAAAAAATAGGATGAATGAATAATACCCAGTATTTGATAGCACAACAGGGGGACCATAGTCAATAGCAACTTAATTGTATATTCTTAAATAACTAAAAATGTATAATAGTATTGTTTGTAACATAAAAGGTAAATACTTGACGGGATTTAGTCACCATTCTCCACGATATGATTAGTACTCATTGCATGTCTGTAACAAAAAAATCTCATGTGCTCCATAAATATATACACCTACTATGTACCCACATATTTAAAAAATTTTAAAAATAAAAGTAAAACATAAGAGATCATACTATAATAAGTCTCAGGATGGTGATGACTAATAAGTGAATGCAGGTAAAACATTTAGAAAGTATGCCTCATACATATTAGTTGTGGTTGTTACAATTATTAAAATAACTTTTTGTTCCCCTAATGCAATTGTAGCATGGTCTCTTTTCTTTAAAGACGACACAGACTGTATCCATTCTCATGCTTGTAATAATTTTTGTAATCTAGAGCAGGGTCAGGAAACTATGGCCTCTAGGTCAAATCAAGCCCACTGCCCTGCATTTGTAAATAGTTTCGTAAATTAGTTTTATTGAACACAGCCATACTTATTCATTTACATATTGTCTGTGGCTGCTTTTGCACTACGATGGCAGAGCTGAATAATTCGTACAGAGATTATATTATTATCTGGCTTTAACAGAAAATGTCGGTCAACCCCTGATTCAGAGTAAAACAAAGTTTCAACGTTTATTTGAAAAGTCAGTGAATGACAGGATGGAAATCTGTACTCAAAGACAATCGTTTTTCCTCTGTCTCTACTGCTGGTTGCTATGGGGATTCAAACGAGTCACATTACCTTCCCACAACTCAAATTCTTCATTCATAAAAATAAATACCCACACATATAAGAAGGTAATCATAATTTTCTGACTTATATAATTAGTGTATATTTTAAGTATAACAATATGCATAAAAGTGCTTTGTCAAATTTAAATTATGAAAGCAGATTTGGTTCATTAATCATCAACAAGGTTATTAAATCTAATCCACTCATTCACCTTCTTGATGACAAAGTCTTGTAACAGGTCTAAACTTGCTCTTCCTCAACTGGTTTTGGGACCAGGCCAGTGCTGTGGCCTTGTTTAGCTGCTAAGGAATAATATCTTCCCATTTTGAACATTTAGAATAATGAATTTGGTTATGGGATACAAGGAACATATGATTAAGCAATTATTTTCTTTTCTCTCTGAAGGATCATCATTAAAAAGTAGTGCTTTCCAGCCAACGGCATTGAAGCTGCACACACGCAGCTCGAAGGGGCCCTTTGCCAGCTGGCCTCATTAAATCCCTGACATGCTCTCCTGCATTTTGTTGTCAGAGTGTGTTCATTCCTCGATAACTCTGCATTCCTGTCCCAGGGCTCTTAGGTCCACACCTTCATGTTTCTTCCCTCTTGCTGAGTTTGGACTCTTTCTTTGTTGGGTAGAATTTTCTCCTGTGTCTAGTCCCATATTTCTCATACTTATTGCTTAAAGAAAAGGAAAATGTTCCACAATTGGTTTGTCCTTTTTTCTGAAAACTGAAGATCCTGATCCCTTGTCTCATCCCAGACCAATCTATCAGAAGGAAACACAGTTCTGTCTACAAAGCTATGGGTTTTCCGTTTCATATGTAGCACCTTCCCTTCCATTCTCCTGGAGAGTACATTGTAGTTTATGTATCATTACTCTTAGTGTCATATAAAGGACTTCTGTTAAAAGGCTGAGGATTTATAGGATAAAGAATCATAAAACTAAACCCTGTGGATAAAGCCTGTCCTCTTCTGTGTGACGAGTCATGGCAGGAGGCCTTTGGGAACCCACAAGAGGCAGAGCATGGCAGAGGGTTTCTCATATGTAAAAAGGTTCTTCAGTCACTCTCCTGTCTGAGCTGTTTCATCACTTAGAAAGGCAGAGTGTACCTGTTCTTTGGGTTTGTGGTAAGTAAAAAATTTTTACTCTGTACATGCTTATTACCAATTATAATTTTGACAGGTTACAAACATTACATTATGTTATTATTATATTACAAACATTTGCTTCCATTCTTCCAGTGAATGTGGTAACACACAGAACACTGGATTAATCACACACTAAACACTAAGAGTAAATAGCTCAGAATTATTTAAAATTCTGGCTAGGAAAGAGATTTATTCCAACAGTCATGAATAAAATTTTCTTTAAAAACAATTAAAAAGTGCCATTATGCTAGATCCCCCTAACTTATCTGATCAAACTCCTCAAGGTCAACTTTAGAAAGGAACTAGTTTCAAGTCATAAAGAAAAATCATCAGGGCTCCATAATCTCAAAAAGTTTGAAAAGTTTCATTAAAAGATCTGAAGATTCCATCTCCCTGCAGTAGAGGTTAGGATGAGTCAAGTGGAGATAAAACAGCAAATCATCTGGGTATTAGATTTCAGACCATAAACCCATTTGCTTTGGCAAGACACTTTAACTTCCAATTTGGTCTGTCCATTAAGTGGCAGAAGAGGAGGTTTTCAATGAAAGGTAATTTACAGGTGTGCAATGCAGATAGTTTATTGGGAAGTATTGTGGTCTTGTCTTTGAGGGTGCCTCCTCTTGGGTTATAGAGGTGAGCAAGATGACTCTGCCTGTTTGGCAGAGAGAATGTGAATCACATGTGACTAAATTTTCTGACAGATTACTGGATGATTGCAGGCAGGGTGGGATGAATAAAACTTGGACCTACAATGCTTTGAGAAGAAATGGTTGCTTGGTTCCAAAAAGTTCTTTTCTTCTTTTTTTTCCTTTTACTCCTCTCTAAGATTTCTTGTGATGAAGATTTATTGCCACCAAATTCAAATTCTGCAACCCCAAAGCCTCAGGCTGACACTAGCCAGAACCCAAATAATGACTGCATTTATGGAAAGATTCAAGCAGTATGGGCTAGGTTGGGCAATAGGGGAAAACATTCTAATGTTAAATTGCTTTTAAATAGATATTGTGTAAACAATAGAAACAAACCAGGTGAAATGCCTCTCCATGGACATATAGTGAATATGAATAGTTGTGTTGCTGAGGTTGGTAGATTCTATAATGGAATATGCCTGTAATATAGGAACTTGTTTTGCTTTATTTCTTCCCTCCATAAGTAGTTGACTCTTTCATATGTAAAAATTATGTTTCCTTTTGTTAGCAGTAATGGACTTCAATTAAATCATGTGTTTTTATCATGTCAATTTGTGTAAGTATTTTTATCCAAGTTATTTATAGAACATTTAGGTCTGTCCTTCAAAGGCCTTAGTAATCTTTAATGTTTGCTGGTCTGCTTTTAATTCATCAAAGTTCTCCCTCAACAAGCATTGCAAAACACACACGTGCAGCAGAGATTTTCCCTCTACGATGTATATTTGATATGCTTAATGTTCATCTTTATACACACAGAGGCATATAAGAAATGTGGAGGTTGTCTATAAATTCAAGGAAACATTTAGGTGCACAGTGATACATAGATACATGGGTATAATACTTTATGTACTTGATAAATATTTCATCCCTACCATAAAAAGAGCTTTTTATCAACTTTGATTGTTTTTTTATTACCTTAAAGTATTGCAGTTGTTTCTCAGTATTCATTGTTCCTTCCTTTTCTTGTCTCAGACAGGAATTGAAGATGAAAAGCTCTGTATCTCTTAGCCACCCTTTCAGTTCTTTGATCCTGACCTCCAGCTGCCTTACCAGGCTTCCACTTTCAGGAGAGAGCAGGTCACGTGGACTGGACCCACTGTGCCCTGCCATTGTGTCCTGGATCTTCTCTCCTAGGGTTTTCTAATGCATCAGATTAAAAAACAAAAAAATAAAACAAACAAACAAAAAAACCCACCACGAACAACAAAAAAACAAAAACATAGATTAGCTTAGGTACCAGAAACACATTACACTTTTGTTGGTAACAAGAGCCATCTGGAAGCGTCCATCTATACCTGCCACCTCACTACTGACTTTCAGTTCAGATTAGGTCGCTGTTCCATTTAGTATTTGAATTCTCAGTGCAAGTTGTTCTGAGTACCAGCGGATACTTAAGAAGACCTCATTCCTTATTCACTTACTTTCCTTTAATAGAAAGGAGATTTGGCCCATAGTTCACCAGATAAAAATTCATTTGAATTTTTTTGGTCACAGAGAAAAATTCATTTGAATTCTCATGATAGGACTTTATAGTAAAACAGTCTGCACATAAAACGTTCAGGAGACATAAGTTTAATAAATATACTAAAGAGACCAAGAGTAGATGAAGCATGGAGAATTAACTTCCATTTTTTGTTTTGTGACGTATTCCTGAAACCATGTAACTAAAGGGTTTTAAGAAAAGGAAGCCTCCTTGGTGATTTTGTTGATTTTACCTGACTTGGAAATTGTTCAATTCCACAATTCTTTCCATTTTGCATTTCTGGATGCTGGACTTTCTAATATCGAATATGTGTTAAAATAATCCCCAACTCACTATGCCAGAAGCCTACTTAAATTAACCACTATGGCAGGAGAGTGTTGTCAGGGAGGGCTCTTTTCTTTTTTTCTTTCTGGTGGAAAGCACTCCCAATCAATAGGATTTAAATCTATAATGATGAATTAAACATACAAAAATAAGCTTTAAAACACAAATAAAATTAAGTCAACAAACATTCATCTGGTGTGTAGTGTTCTGTAAATAGTATCTTTAGGAGATTGTAGCAGAAAAATAGCCTTTCTTGGCAACACCCTTGTATTTTCATGGTGACACCCTTGTATTTTCATGGTGAAAATATTGATAATTTGAAGACCCTCAGTGGAATCCAGATTTAGCTATTGTTTTTACGCTGTAACAAAAGTAGCAGCAGGAGGTGAAATCAATGCCCTTGGAGGGTAGGGTCACAAAAAAGAATTTATTGCCACTTTTTTGTTCTGGAACAGTTTGCAATCATAAATTCTTCATAAACAGAATACTTCAGAGAATGGTCCGTCTTCATAAATATACGACAGAGGACATCAATTTCATTTAATTCACAATTTGTGTCAGCACAGCAGATGCCAATGCCTGCCTTGATAGGGTTGTTTAATATGCAATTGAGACAGAGTAATATGCAGCACAGGGGACAAAATTTCACAGATTAAACTGTACGCACCACTGACATTTCATTCTAATGTATTTCCATTCCACACTGTTCACCTTAGATGAAAGTAATATTAAAAACCATATCCCTCTATTTTACTATTGTTAGAAGTTAAAATCCTTGTCTTTAATTTTTTTCATGCCAATTAAAATGTAATCATGCCAATTAAAACAGTATGCCTGGTGGTGTTAGCATGGTACAGGATTTATAAAAAATCTTCCCTCACCCTACTCTCTCACTGCAAACCTGCATGTTGTATTTGAATGATATTTTTGCCAAAATGGCAACTATTTTTAAAGTCTCTGATTTATAAAGGATAGCTAAATATTATTTCTTTTTTCAATATAATATTGACTTAAAATTCTGTTGAGGAAGCAATACACGTGACACAACTTAAACAATTTTCTTAAAATATTATTGTTATTTATCAAATTAGCAATGGATATATTAAAATGCAATGTAAACAGACTTATCACTACTTTATCAAGCACATAAGGTTGCTATTCTTATCTATGTACTAAACAACCTTTTAAAATGTCATACACTAACCACATTTCTCCTGTCTGAGATCAATGAATGCTGTAGAATTTGGCAGATTTTGATTTAAGTCACCGTACTATAAATTGAAAGCCATTAATTATTATTAAAAAGCAACAATATGTTAGATGAAAAACTTTTAACATTTTAAGTTACTTTGCACAACTGCAGAGTGTAGTGAATTTAAATGAGAAACAAGGACTTAAACTTGCAGTTTTTTAATCTCCCAGATTAGGCATGGCATAAACAGAATACTGGCATTCCTCCAAATCATCAAGGTACATGAAGAGCTTTTTATTCAAAATATTTTTGGAGTATTATTTATCTAAAAAAATTTTTTTAAGGTAGAAAACTGGAAGGCATGCAAAATTATGCTCCATAACTGACATCGCCCATACTTGGCTGTTATAATTAATTATTTAGGTAATTGACAAATATAGCTTACCCTTGATTTGAAGTGAAGGCAATTTAGGAGAGAAGCTGATGAAAAAATACAGTTTAACTTTTCTCTCAGCTGTCTTCCAACAAAAGGACAGCACTGTCTCCTGCACAGTGCCATCCTGGTCTCTGGGTAACAGAATCTCTATATTGCCTTTTTGCCAGATTCTTGCATCTCAGTCTTTGGCTGAGACCCAGACCATCATTGCGTGAAATGAATTACATGAAACTTTTTTCTTTTTTTTTTGGCTTTTGTTAAAAGTGAGCTGGAAATTGAGGCACAAAACACAGGCTGATTCAATTCTGCAATTCAGATTTGGGTCAAATTTGCATCTTTGTTTTGGTAGCTTTAGTGTGACTTGAAAGCTGTAGTGACAACTCCACTTTTCATCTTAAGGGTACAGTAAATAGTTAAACAGTAGATGTCTCTTACATGTACCTTCAGAATAAATTCTATTAACATTCATTCAAGCATGACAGTCAGTATATATCAGATATACTGTATTATAGTTGACTTGGTGCATACCCATAATACATGGAATATTTTACTTACTTTTTCATGTATTAAAGAACCAAAATTATTAAAATCTGAGAGGAGACAAGCTCAGAAAAAAAAATCAACAGAAGAGGAAAAGCAGTGTCTTTCCCATAATAGCATGAATAGCTTGTTTGAAATGTAGGTAGTGAATTGAAAGAGAGAGATATTTGTGCCTCAAATTAGAAATCAGACAGATAGAGTACTTCACTACGCAAAAAATGTACACATAACCTACAAACAGTAATAAAAATGCAAATACCCCAAGCAGTTCCCATTTTTCATTAATTGAATCCACTTTTTCAAGGAGATCATTTGGTAGTAAAACGCCACCTTTCTTCAAAGCTTCAACCTTACTAAGCAGCTCCGTCTTTTTCAGGTGTCTGATGGACATTTCCACACTGTATCGCTAAAATGAAAAGAGAAAAAGAGATATCATTAGGGAGAGAGGTGTTCTTAGAAAATCATTGAACACAGAATTTGTGATGCTTATGAGCATTAAAAGTTTTTGTTCCCAATAAAATTTATGGGGAGGCTAAACGTAAGTACTTTGAGTAGATGAAGAATATTGCTGAATATATTATACACACACACACACACACATACACACACACACAGTTATTACATTTAGTTGACTAAGATTTCTTTCTTAAACTCAAGTTTATACACATATTTGATCTTTAAAATATTCCAAATAGGACAATAACTGGTCTAGGGGGGTTTAATATTACAGTTAATTTTGGTCATCATTTGGCTCCAGAGTGCTGTCCACCTCTCATCTCTGCCCCTAAAGGACCAGTCTCAAAGTGGAAGAAATAAAATTATTCATGAAGATTATGTAAGTTCTCTGAATTCTCAGTTAACATTTTGTTTTCATTTTCTTTTCCTTAAAAATTCTGTGTGGGCTTGGAGAAAAGGTACACATAGAGAGAAAAAGGAAAGCCACCATTTTAGGTATAGTTACAAATCTATGCTTCCTTATTGATTACTGTAAAATATCCCCCAAATCATAGTTGACTACAGAACCCTCTCCCCGAGTATGTATTATATTCTAACAAACTGCCAAGAGAGTCTCTCCTAAAAGATGTTTTGCTGGAGATAATGTAAATGCTATTTAATATGACAGTTACTATGGTGATTCTCTTCAAATAACTCTATTTGGATAACTCCATAGTTAGTCCTATATTATGGATAGCCATAAATGACTATGACTGTACTTTATAAATGTACATGTAAAAACACCTCTGAGTAGAAAATCTAGATTCTGGTTAAAATATTAAACATATTTTACATTTTTAGCACATTTCCAAAATATAATAGCAATTTTAAAACTTTTTTCTTTCAGGCACCATATTTAGGTCACTGAGTTCCATGGTAGTATTTGTTCCTTTGCCCTAAATGACCAAGGGTGCCCTAAGATAAACACTTTTATCAGAGTTAATAAGAAAAACTTTTCTCTGGAAATAAGTAAATCAGTAAGTTCAAATGTGCCCAAGCACTTGGGTGATTTCATTCACCTTGAAAACATGATATTATATAAGATCCCAAACAAAAATACAATTGGAAGCAGATTAAAGGAAAAGAAGGTGTGAAATCACTGTTTCGGTTAATAGATCTTCAGCATTTGCATGCATATGTTTGCATACTTTTAGTTTCATATTTTAATCTTTCATTTACACTAAACATGCACATCATTTGTATTATGTAAACTTCTCCAAATGTTAGTCATTTGTGGATCACAGAACAAAATGTTTTAAATGAGGTGATTTAAAGCATTTCATATTATTAATGAATGTTGATCAGGGTGTCAGAGTATCCAAAATTACATGAATATGCATAGTGGAGAAAATCAAGGGTTACTTTAGAGCGCTTTTAGAATTTGGCCTGTGATACAACAGAAATTCTGATTGCGTTTTCTAATGGAAGGCAATTACCAGGGCCATGTTACTCCAGCACTTAGGAAACACACTGTCCACTTGAATTTTCTGGATTCAATATTCAGAAGTATTCTAGAAACCTAGATAGTGTTTCTAGAGTGATGTGATGATTGGAGGAGATGACAATCTGCTTTATGCAATTAGGTTCCCATCTGAAATGATATAGCTGACAAATATTTACATAATTAATTTGGTAAGATTTCCACATAATATTGGGGGAACCAGTATTTCAGGCAGGCAGGAAAATCTTATTCAAATATTTTACTTATGCCACATGGTATTACACATTGACAGAGAGAGTCCTCTGGCTGTGCCACTTGGGAATGGCCTCTACCAGTTATCCTTTAACTTGTGACAAGCTCATCCCCCCTCTTCACCCCAACTTTAAACAGCTCTCACACAGCAGACCAGTCAAGAAAGGAAACAGCTTAGATGTGTCCCATAAAAACGACAGTCTTACACAAATAAAAATATAAAAAGCAATTAATTTAATTTTAGATGTAATCAACTAATCTTCTCCATTAAATGTGTATAAGTAGTCACTGCAATAGCTATTATAAAAGGTTATTACATTTAAAAGAAACTTGTCTTTATGTATGCTCTCAGTCTTTGTCACCATATAGCCTACTGTCTAAACAGCTTGATGAAAGGTGTGATTGATAGACAATGCCTTCAAACTATAATATAAAAACTAAGAGGATCTAGTTAATTGTTCGATGTATTGATATATGAATGAAAGGTACTAAAATGTTATATAATTTAAGGTGAAAATATTTTAAGTTTTGAAGCACATTCAAGGTTAAATCTAGTACGATTTAGGGGCTCAAGCTGTATGTGTAATAATGTCAGGAGCTTCTATTTTTGTTGATGCTAGTATGTTTTTGCTCTTCTGTCTCTTAACATCTTTTCAGAAGCATTAGACTCAGAGAATCAACTGCCAGCTCTATCAGTTTTCGGTCATCCTATCAAGTGGGGCTACTTTATCCTGTGGTGAGAAGATAATTTAATCTTCATATTCATTCCACCCACAGCAGTAAGTGAGCAGAGGCTGCCCCATTGTGTCCTGTAGTCTGGGGATGTTATGATATAGACTACTCTTCAATAGGCAAAAATGAGATTAGCAAAGTTAAAGTCAGAAAGCTTTTCTTGAGTGCTAAGGTAAATAAGCATCCAGTATTTAATTTCCCCACAGCACCTGCTGTGGGCCTCTCTGTCTAGTCAAAAATAAAATATACTCTCTTGAAAGGCCATATTTACATTATTAAGTGTATTTGCTTGGCCAATTCAATTTTGACTAATGAAGCCTCCTAATAGATACGTGAATGATCTAAATTAAAGACACAGGACACTACTATTCTAAATGTCATCCCTGTGTATAAAATATAAATAAAACTTAAAAAAAAAAAGAGTTAAAAATAACTACAAACTCTAGCCCACCATTTTAACTAAGAACTAAAGAAGTTGTAGAAAATTCCTATTGAGTGCTTTACTTAGCACAAATGCTAAAACTGAATTATAAAACAAGGTTAGCAAAAACAGGAATTTCTGAAATAAACATACTTAGAAATGCATGAAGACTTGATTGAGATAACTTTTTTGACAGTTATGCTAAAGGCTTCCCCGCCACACCGAAGTCCCCCTCCTTTTTTTTTGTTAGAAATCACACCGAAAATTCTGCCCAAATGGAGACTGGAACAATGCCTTGAAACAGTGTTAATTGTCACCATGGAAACCAGAAGAATAAGCCATTTTGAAACTGGTATAGAAGGCACACATTGAGCAACTCAAGCATTTTTCTGCCTCCCTCAATGTTAAGGAACAAGATGCCTTGTCACTGTGAGGTCAGAGAAAGAAAACATCATGAAAGAGTTGTAGATGCTCACTGTCTGGTAAATAAAAAAAATAAAAAATAAACTATATACAGCTAATGCTATAAGACTCTACCCAGTGAAATCTTTTTGAAACAGAAGGATCATCAAAAGATGGCCAGGATTGGGGGATGGCTTCCACCTAAGCAAAACTTCAGGGCTATATTATGTGAACCTTGCCCCCAAAGCTCCCTGGGAATTCTGCTGTTGTAATAAAACTTCAGAAGAGGAAAGAAAAAAGGCAGCATGATGGAATTCAAAATAATGCTCTAAAAGCACACAGAGAGATTAAGACATCCATTGTAAGACTTTTGTATGGTGCTTCTGTTGGTTATGCTGAAAAGAGACCAGACATTGCTGAACAGAGAGTGAAGCTTTGGCTGCGAGAAACACACAAATTAAACTAAAAACATTTCTTGATTATTAGAATAGGGCTGTTGTATTCTGTGTCATCAGGGTTTCAGCATTTATATCTTATACCATATTACTTTTAACTGAGCTTCAGTTGACTTTATATTAGGAAAAGTGAAAACAAGGGAAATGATCTAGTTATTAGAATGGCAGGATTGAATGTCTTTCCTGGTACAAATAATGCCACAAACACCTGTTTACCCAGCGAGATTCCCTTTCCCATATACACATGATTGACTGATAGATACGATCGATCTATCGATAGAGAGATAGATAGATAGATAGATAGATAGATAGATAGATAGAATACACTGAGAAAATAAAATATATCTTACTTAGTCTATCAGTAAGAAAGCAAATGCTAGGAACACACCAAAACACCAAACTATTGGCAAAATAATGTGTGAAAATACGCATTTTTGCCAAAAAAAAAATCCAGGGATGTGTCTATTTACAACTCTCACGTGTTTTCTGGCTAGTGTTTGCCCTCTTCATTCGAGGCTTCATGGTGGCCCCTCAGCAAGTCCATGCCTAATGCCATTCAGTGGTGAACAAAGAGTCTTTTTATATAAAAGTCCAGGGTCCAAGCTCAGCTGTACATGCAGAGTGCAGGAATCTGCTAGAGGCCAGTGTTGCCTTTGCAGCAGCTCTTGTGCTGCCCCCCTTTTCAGAAGACTTGTGTGTAGCATCTCACAATGCATATGATGCTGCACATGGAGTCAGTACCACCAACACATCCAGAAGATGTTCAAAATTGAAGAAAAGGGTTCAAGTCCAAGACAAATAATAGTCGTTATTTCTTGCAAACTCCTTGTATTTTATCATTAGAATTTATGGTGAGTAATTGCATAGAGAAATTATGAAGACTCCTACAATTGTCCTTGTAAATTAATAATAGGTTTTCCTGATTGGGATAAATTTGCTGCGGAGCCTTTGGAAAAATTAAAAAGTGCAATGTCATTTAAAATTGCCAGAACTCGCACAGCAAATTACACCTGAGGTTAAGAATTGAGTTTTCCCCCTCTTCTAGCTTATTCCATTTGCATGATCTGGAAATCACATTACACTGGCCATGTACTGTTAATTGGACATAGATTGCATTATCTTTAATATAAATCAAACTACAAATATGAAAATGAATTGCAAATTCCCTAATAGAAGATCATAAAACAATCTTTTTTAAAGTATCTCCC